AAAAAAAAAAAAAAAAAAAAAAAGAAATTTTAAATTTTACCTAGCAGGTTTATTGTTAGTGGTGGTATTACTGTTATAACTTTGAAACTATATTATAGGATGAGGCAGATAAATATATTAATTATTAATGTTATTCAGAACCAGGCTTTTCACTGTAAGAAAAAAGATATATAAATATAAAATAAATGAAGGTAAAGAAAACATTGTATCTTAAATGTGAATAGGAAACATCAGTATGAACTCATGAAAAAAAAATGTATGTATATATATTTTTTTTCTAGCTCTATCCACTGAAAGGGCCCAGAAGCTCTTAACACTGCTGTATCAATAACACTACCATAGCCATGAGCACACACCTAGTACCTAGATCTTGACTCCTAAGTACCATTCCCTACAAAAAGCAAGTAGAGCTCCTTGGAGAAATGTTTAATTCCAGATCTGGCTCAAGGAAAGTAAAGAGTGATCCAGGGGAGTTTTTTGTTGAGAGAGCAAGGAAGTGCTCAATGAAAGTCACATTAAAAGAACACAAGAAAGGACTACCCAGGGTTTGATCTCCATATGGCCAACTGCAAAAAAAGAAAAAAAAAAAAGGTAACAAATCAGGGGTGAGGGGTGGGGGGGTGGGGGCGGCCACAGGAAATGCTCTTTTTTACAAAAGAATGCCAGCTAATAAATGTAGAAGAAATGACAGAATTAGAAACTCACCATTCTGCAATCGCCAGAGTAACAATTAATTTGGCCAAAAATCCTCATCAGATGCTAAAACCACTGGGTGAAACATGTTGAGCACAATGACATGCACACAGTCTCAAAGAATCATAACACTTTGAGTGTCATTTTGCAGACTACTTATTACCCAAGGAAAAATACCTTTACAATGTAGAGATCTGGAGGCTACCACCTTAATGCAGTGATCAAATTTAGCATCACCAGCAGCAGGACAGCCTGAGGTGATGTGCATCCTGATGGGATGCAGTAAAGTTTGCTCAACATTGCCCCTGCAGTAGTCTTGCCAAAAATATTTAACCTGAATCTAAGCATCAGGAAACAATCAGACATATCCAGAATGAGAGGCATTCTACAAGACAACTGGCCTGGACTCTTCAGAAACAGCCAACAGTATATAAAAGCAACAACAACAACTAACGAGTTAAAATGTTGGGTCTATGTTACATTTAAAGGACTAAAGAAAACAGCCACCAAGTGAATTGTGTGAATATAGATTACATCTTAGTTTTTGAAAAAATTCTATAAAAGACATCATGGGACAACTGGGGATGTTTGAATGTGGGCTGTACATGAGATGTTATTTTGGAATGATTGTTAAATTTTCTTTGGTTTAATAATGTTGTGGTTATGTAGGAGAATATCCTTATTCTTAGAAGAAATTTGTTGAAGTATTTATCAGCGACATGTTGGCTATAAAATACTCTCAAATAGTTGAGCAACAGTATATATAAATAGAGAGTAAATATAACAAAATGAGTGTAAGTGAAGGGTGTTGGGTATTCATTATTTTATTTTTACAACTTTTCTATAGATTTGAACATTTTCAAATAAGAGGTTGCAGGGAGAACTATAAACTTGCTGGGGGAGGGCGGTCAGATGTGGAGAGGCTTGTCCCATCTGCTGTTCCTCTAGTTCAAGCTGGTCCTGGTCATCTCTTCTGCCAACTGCACATTCTCTACCTCTTTGCCACGCTGAAGAAGTCTCCTGTTTCTACTTAGGTGAAGACCCCCTTGTGGACGATCAAAATGAGCGAGACATCAATTCAGTTGCTGGTGTTTTAAAACTGTATTTCCGAGGACTGGAAAACCCACTCTTTCCTAAGGAAAGGTTTCAAGATTTGATATCTACTATTAGTAAGTATTTCCCAGATGGAACGATCAGTTCCCTGACATGTCTTTTTTGAAGCTGCGCCGCAGGCTCGTCACCGTGCTGGGCGCAGAGGAGGGATGTTATGAAAGAAGCATGGCCTTGTTCTCATAGAACGTAAAACCAAGTTGTAAAAATATCAAGCTGGTTTGTGTGAAGGGGCTGACGGACATGGTACACCTGCTGAGTACAGAAGGAGCTTGGAGAAGAAGCAGAGGGAGACTTGGTGTGGCAGATCAGAGCCCAGAGAGAGTGATATGAGCAGAGTCTTGCAGAAAGAGTGGAAACAGAGAATCCTGGGAACGGCTGGGGACACAGGGCAAGAGGCTGGAGGGGTAAAATAGAGTAAGACAGGAAAGATCTTGAATGCCTTGCAAGGATTCCAGGGCTTTTCCCCTTGGGTGATAGGGAGGTATGGAAGGTTTGGGGGTCAGATCAGCAACATGACAAAGGAGGGAAATGGTGACTGGGGGCTTCCATTGACACCGTTAGCTGTGAGAATCCTCCTTGACTGGTATGTTCCTGTGCATGAAGCCAGGAGAGCCCTGCCTAGGGACTGATGTCAAGGCACCTTGACTGTAAGATGCCCAAATCCAAGGCAACCTTTTTATTTTTTAAAATAAACTTTTAATTTTAGAATATTAGAATTTTAGTGTTTAGAATAAACTTTTAAATCTTATTTGATTTACATAAAGTTTCCCCACACCCAGTTTCATTTCACCAGGGGTGCTCCTCACAATGCTCTGAGAGAGATTTGCAGCCAGTCAAGTGTTCCAGAAGGTGACAAGAGGAGAGGCAGGCTTGAGCCCTCTTGTTTTCTTTGGGTAAAATGCCCTCTATTGCCGGTCTGCCCTTCATACTGCTTCCTGCTCATCTTTCCAGATCCTCTTATCCTCTTATCCTCTTCATCATATCTCAGAAGTTCTAAGCCACAAAGGCCCGACCCTGTCTGAGCCCTGTGTCACTTGCTCAGCCAATGTTTCCAGAACCCTTAGTAATTCAGTTCCTGTGCAGGACCCTGAGTGGACAAGGATGTTGACCTTTTGCCCAAGGTCATGGCGTGGCATGACTTGAATGACATCGAGAGAACCCTGTGATTCTCAGTTCCCTTCTGAATCCTGTGATTATATCAGGGAGAGAGCTCACAGGTCAATCTCCCTTCTAAACAGAGAGAGGCAGGCCTTGGTTACGGAAATTTTCATAGACATCACTGTCTACCTATAATTTAGTAGCATTGTTATGCTTTCATTGTATCTATTTTTATGTCACCTCCTAGTTACAGCAGCTGATCCTTGTTTCTCACTTTACAGTGATGTAAAGTTTCCTTTTTATATAAATGCATTTAAGAAAAATACTGTTAATAAATAATAGTAGAGGCGGTATTGGGGCACTGATGAATGAAGCTGAGGATGTGGGGGGGTCTGTACTGAGAGGTGATGGAATTAATTTGAGTGTAAGAGCCTTTGACTGTGTGGGGCGGCTTGGGTGAAGCTTCCCAGAGCCAGGCCTTGCAGGTAAGCTAAAGGGATCACCAGAGTGTGCAAAGGCCCAGGGGTGGGAAAGTCTTTTGCAACAGGGAGATGTGGTGGATGAGGTCACCTGTCATAGGGTTTCTCAAGGGGGGCACTATAAGAATTTAGGGTAGAATAGTGCCTTGTTGTGTGTCCCACACATTCAGGACACTTAGCACCTTGGCCCCTGGATGCCAAATGCCAGTGGCACCGTCTAGTCACTGTGACAACCCCAGAGAATGCCTCATAGATTTGCAAGTGCCCCCAGATTTGTTGATACCACCTCATTTGAGAAGCATGTCTCTAGATGATCTTCAGATGCTTTGGGAAGGAGTGGTAGCTGAGGGGTAAGGTGGGGAAGGTTGGTTGCAGTCCCATCACAATGCACCTTGGATGCAGAGGAGACACAGGAGTAGGTGTGTTGTGGAATCCACACATGTGGAGGCTGGAGAGACCGACTATGTGAGAAAAACATGTTACCTAAAAAAGAAACCAACATGGTTTTGCATGTTGGCCCTGTGGATCAGCATCAGAGCAGTGGGAGATCACTCTTCTCAGTGCCAGCTTTCCCACTCCACAAAGCACCTCTCTCTTCTCCCAAGCCCTGTTTGCTGCCCCACCCCTGGCCAAGACTGATAAAAATACCAATGTCTGTCTCTTTAGGGTTGACCTCAGAACAGGGGTCAGAGATGAGATCCCAAACACCTGCCAGGTGCTTTGGCCAATATGTAGCTCAAGAGGTGGTTATTAACATTCATTTCCTGGGCAACTACTTTGTGCCAAGCCTGTGCTGCAGCTGGTTTTTGTACAGAGTTTAATAAAACGTGATCCCTGCCTGTGTTTGTCAGGACACGCTGGTTGCAGGTGACAGAAAGTCAACTTAAACTGGCTTAATCCATAAAAGGGAATGTATTGGTTCATGTACTGGAAAAGTTTAGGTCAAGCTGGATGCAGACCGTCACTCAGCATCAGCAGGAATCTGTCCCCCTCTCTGTCTTTGTGCCAGCTTCACTCTCATGCAGGATCTTCCTCCTGGTAGCTTGGAGCTGCTCCACATGTCCTTCTACCCATGCTCATGAGGGCACCTCCCTGAGGGTTTCTCTAGCCCAAAGTCTAGAGGATCAACTTGGATTGGTTCTGATTGGGCCATGCCCCCAACCCCTCCCTGTGGGCGGGGATGTGACGCTGTGATTGGCCAGGTCAGGATCACACATGGTTTCCCAGAATTAAGAGAAGAGCTGGCTCCCCCGACTCCCCGTGGGCTGACATAGGAGGTGGGACCAGCAAACATCTGCTGCTTTGCTCTCTGAGGATGAAACACACTCAGAAAAGCCCCTTTATGTTACAGAACTGGAGAACCCAGCTGAGAGGGTGCACCAGATCCAACAAATCCTCATCACCCTCCCCCGCGTGGTCATCGTGGTCATGAGATACCTCTTCGCTTTCCTCAACCAGTGAGTGCCTAGCCAAGGGGCCCCTCTTTGGCTCCACCCTGGCCCCCTTTGGGAGGGGGTTTCCTGAGGCTTTTACAGGTGCTGCTGTTTTTAAAGCAGAACACGGAGCCCTCCTGGATTAGAGTAGAGCCCCCCTCCAAAAGAAAGAAACCACAGGGGGAGGGTTTGCCTTTCCCAGATGACCTGTGGGTACCTCCTCTCTCCTAGCCTCTCCCAGTATAGCGACGAGAACATGATGGACCCCTACAACCTGGCCATCTGCTTTGGGCCCACCCTCATGCACATCCCTGATGGGCAGGACCCTGTGTCCTGCCAGGCACACGTCAATGAAGTCATCAAAACCATCATCATCCATCATGAAGCCATCTTCCCCAGCCCCCGGGAGCTAGAGGGACCCGTGTATGAAAAATGCATGGCTGGAGGGGAAGAGTATTGGTAAGATGCCACTCCTCTTAACATTGTTATTATTATCATCATCGTTGTTGTTGTTGTTGCGGAGCAGGAGCAGTAAGAAGCCCTTCAGTTTCCTTACTGCGTGATAGGCTGTACTTCCGTATACATTTTCTCATTCGAGCTTTGCAGCAGCCTTGTATGAGAGATGGGCATGTCAGTCAAGATTTTCTCTTATTACAAGGGACAGAAATACAATTAAAACTGTCTTAAGCCAAATGGGAATTTATTGGTTTAGTTAACTGAAAGTCTGGAAAACATCTTCAGGTATAGCTGGATCCAGGGGCTCAGCTATTATCATGAAGACTAGGCCCTGCAGTCTCCATCCCTTGCCTCTGCTTTCTTCTGTATTGGCTTCATTCTCAGACAGCCTCTCCCTTGGTGGTTGCAAGAAGGCAGCCAGCAACTCCATATTTATAACCCATTCTCCCAGCATCCTCAATAGAAAAAGAGCTCCCCCTTCCCAAATATTCCAACACCAGCCCAGGAATTGTGTCTCATTGCTGAGGTTTGGGTCTGGTGAAGTAATCACATTGGTTAGGAGATGTAATGCTGTAAGCAGTCAGGTGAGTCACAGCCCATTTTGGGAAGCAGGGGAGTGAATGATCCTTCGACCTCATGAACTGAGAGCGACACTACCCACCGTTTCCTCCCACCTGGGAGTTCTCTTTTCCAGACAAAGCGAGTTCAGTTTCTTTGAATGTTCCACATCAGGTCCACAATCACTAGTTGGGCACCTCTGTGTGCTTGGTACTATGCTGGGTCTTAGGAGAAATATTTTAGGACCTTTTCAAAATCAGGGCTGACTGCTTTCCCCAGCTTAAGACTTTAAAGTATGAAGACAGGAGCGTTTTTAAAAATGTGATGAAGACAGGACATTCAGAACACCGAGTGACAGAGACCAGTCAAAGCATTCCTACTATTTCTTTATTCCTGATCTAGGACAACACAAAATATTTTTAGGTATCGTCTGCATTGCTCTCAGCCAGGTGCCTGCAGGGGGTTTGTTTTTTGATTGTCAAAGCATTCCTGGACTCTTGAAGTGCCTTAGTTCTGTGGGCATTGTTCCCCCACCACACGTGTGCGTGCAAACACACACACACACGCACACACCTCCCTGCATAGAAGTACTGGGCCATGGTGATGTCTAATGACAGCTCTCCAATCTCAGTTGAGGCACTGGGGAGTAGGTCTGTTCCTGTTCCATAACAGAAATGTTAAACAGCCAGCAAGCATAATTTCTGGACATAATTTCTGAAAAGCATAATAAAAGCTTTTCACACAGCTTTTGCAACCATGACTAGTTCTTTTTTCTTGCTTCAATATATAATTGGCATTCTGGGAAGGGACTCACAGATCTAGTGTACTTATCGAAGTACAGTATACAACAACCACATTTTTCTTAATCCCATTTTCCCCCCCATGAAACTGGAAAACTATGAATTACATGGTAGTTTTGGCATTTTCAAAACCCAAAAGGGAGATTTGGCTGAGGGTCTCCCATTCTGGGAAGGGACTCACAGATCTAGTGTACTTATCGAAGTACAGTATACAACAACCACACTTTTCTTAATCCCATTTTCCCCCCCATGAAACTGGAAAACTATGAATTACATGGTAATTTTGGCATTTTCAAAACCCAAAAGGGAGATTTGGCTGAGGGTCTCTGCACAGTGGACAACATTCATTCACTCAATAAATGGTCACTGAGCAGCTGCTCTGGGCTGGGTCCTGAGCTGGGGGCAGGGATGTACCCTGAGCAAGGGCAGCNGCACAGTGGACAACATTCATTCACTCAATAAATGGTCACTGAGCAGCTGCTCTGGGCTGGGTCCTGAGCTGGGGGCAGGGATGTACCCTGAGCAAGGGCAGCCCCAGGGGCCAGGAGCTCTAATGGGGTAGAGAACAGACAGTTCTAGAAGCGGACCCTAAGCCAATCTAGGGAAGTCAGGAAAAGCTTCCTGGAGAAAGGAAAGACTGAGCTGAGACTTCAGGATGAACTGGAGCAGCCTGGTAAGGAGTGGGTGAAGAATGTTCTAGGCTTGGAGCATTTAATAAAATGAAAGGTGGTTCAGTGTGGCTGGAGTGTAGTATGTGACAAGGGAAAGTATGTGACTTTCATAGAGTCAGGTTATGAAAAGTCTTGGAAACCACCGTGCATTATCCAGGTGGCAATGGAGAATTTTTCATAATAAAGCCTATTTCCTTTTAAATGGCGTTGTAATGTCACCTCCTCTGAGAAGGCTTCCCTGACCACTCTAAGTAGGTCCCCTCTGCTATTCTTGTCTCTGCCCACTTCTTTCCTACATAACACTATTTCAGCTTGCAACTATTTTATTTACTAGCCTGTTTATTTGGGCTTTTTTCTTGTCCCTCTGCCTAGAATGTAAGTAACACGAGGCCGGGGAACTGGTCTACCATACCTGTCACTGTATCCTTCCGACCCACCACAGTGCCTGGCATGTGTTAAGACTCACTCGCTGGCTCAGTAAAAAAATGACTGACTATGTTAATGAGCCCTGGCCTCAGGAAGCTTATAATCTAGCAAGGGGGCAGCAGCTGGTGAGATGACAGCAGTACATTAATGGCTAAACTGATGGACCCAGATCACTCCACCATACTCACCATGGCTGGGAGCCTGCTGTCACTGCCTCGTCTGATCTGGGCTTTTGCACACAGAATCAGGAGGCAGTCCTGTTGGCTTCACTTCACCTCATGGGATGTGTCACTTCAGCTGTAAGACAAGGGAGTCAGGCTCAGCCCTTCAAAGGGTCCTTTCTGTTCTGGCCTGTGGTCCTTCCAGTGATAAATGTTGGGGTTTTGCCACTGCCCTCTGAATCTTGCAGAACATGTAAGCATCAATAGCCTTCACCAAGACAGGAGCCCAGCAGATTCCAAGGCTGGGCAGGAGCTGGGGGAGGTATTCAGGAAACTTCCCAGCGAGGGGGCTGGGAGCGGTTTTCTGATTGGGAAGATGCACAGGTGGTCAGATGGAAAGGATAGGATAGGATGGGATGGGTGGGCCTTGCACACTCTGGGTGAGGGCTCACAGGCAGGTGGGCTGGTGCCTATGGGAAGCTAAGGGCAGTGTNTGCAGAACATGTAAGCATCAATAGCCTTCACCAAGACAGGAGCCCAGCAGATTCCAAGGCTGGGCAGGAGCTGGGGGAGGTATTCAGGAAACTTCCCAGCGAGGGGGCTGGGAGCGGTTTTCTGATTGGGAAGATGCACAGGTGGTCAGATGGAAAGGATAGGATAGGATGGGATGGGTGGGCCTTGCACACTCTGGGTGAGGGCTCACAGGCAGGTGGGCTGGTGCCTATGGGAAGCTAAGGGCAGTGTGAGGTTAGACAGCCCCCACAGAGCCCCTTCCTGTGTTTCCTTGCAGTGACAGCCCACACAGCGAGCCCGGCACCATTGATGAAGTTGACCATGATAATGGCACTGAGCCTCATACCAGCGATGAAGGTGAGTGAGGGGGGAATCCATCAGGGGCCAAGGAACTCGCATGGGGGCCTGTCCTGCTGACTCATGCCAGCCTGACCACAGGGCTAGCCCACACAGTCCTCTCCAGCTTCCCAAGTCAGCACACCCATCCTTCAGAATAGGTGGGGACCCAGAAAAATCTCAGAGAAAAATCTTCATTGCTGCACTCTGAGTCCCAGCCCAGGCTTGGTGCAGGGCAGGTCCTTATGGGCACGTGCTGTATTCATCACATTCCACACCAGGCCCACTTCATCACTTTATGTGTCCTGCCTGGCCCGGGTCCATGTCTCAAGTGACAAGAGTTTCCTGAGTAGGAAGTGGCCTCTGTCCCTCCATCCTTGCCCCATGAGAACCTACTCTGCCTCAGGCCTGGGTTGGGACTTGGGCACAGCCATGAGCAAGACAGGGGTCCTCAGGGAGCTCTGGTCTGCCACCAGACCTAGACAGGTTGGAAGCAGCTGCTCATGATGCAGAGTGATAATGCCAGACAACCGGTGTGTCCCCAGCATAGTGGGTACCCCAAAGACAAAGCTAAAGGTTGATGACCCCAGGAAGTGTGGGGGAAGAGAGAGAGAGATTCCTCCACCCCTGTTAGACAAGGAAAAGAGACCTGAGTTAGTCTCTAGGGAAACTGGACTGTTCAGACAAGCAATCTAGATGATATGGGCCCAGAGTCAACTTATCCATCAGGCAGAGGAGGCACAGTGCCCAGGGCCCATGATACTTGTAGGGCTCCACTAAAATGTTTCAATTTCTTCTAACATCAGAATAAAAATTGAATATCATACCCAGTCTGGATTATATCTGTCTTTATGCCAATGCAGCTGTAAAATATAATTTTTAGCATTTTTTTTTACAGAGAAAGAGACCCAGGCAGGCAAAAGTGCCTATGGCCCATGAAAGTCATAATATGGCCCCCTGTGGACCAAGTGTAGCCCTCCCATCTCCCTGTGATAGTTTTACTTTTTAAAAATCATCATTTAGAAATTCTTACTTGGCCTTTGTATTTCCCTTGTGGGACAGTCCTAGGCCCTGTTGTTAGGAGAGCTGGGGACGTACTCAGGTGAGGTTTCTGAAAGCTGGTGAAAGAGGCAAACAGATGGTTTTCACATTCTAGTAGGACTACTTCACTTGCTAATGGCAGGACCCTCTATTAGTCTGTTTTTGTGTTGCTTATAACAGAATACCTGAGACTGGGTAATATATAAAGAACAGAGGTTCATTTTGCTTACAATTCTGGGACAGCTGCATCTGACATGGGCCTCAGGCTGCTTCTACTCATGGCTGAAAGTGGCAGGCAGGTGGCGGGTATAAGCAGATCACATGGAGAGAGGAAGCAAGAGAGAGAGAGAGAGAGGAGGTGCCAGGGTCCTTTAAACAACCAGCTCTCATGGGAACTAATAGAGCGAGAACTCACTCACTACCCCTCCTCCGCCAGGGAGACCATTAATCCATTCATGAGGGATCCACCCCCATGACTCAGCTCCCAACACAGCCACATTGGCAATCAGATTTCCACAAGAGTTTTGGGGGGACAACACATCCAAACTCTGCCAACCCCCCCAAAACAAATTGACTTAATCATAGAAGGGAATCAGCTCATATACGTGAGAGGTCCCACAGTATGTGTGGCTTCAGGCACAGCTAGATCCAGGAGCACAGATGATTTTGGTAGGACTTTGCCTCCATCTTCCTGTCTGCTTTCCTCTGTGCTGGCTTCATTCTCATGTAGGAGCTCCCTGTGTGGTGGTCTCTGGCAGTTCCAGGCCTTCACCATCCTTTTACCCAAAGTCCCAGTGGAAAGGAGTGTCCTTTTCTTAATGGTTCCAAGAAAGGACCTGGGGCAGAGTCTCACTCGACTGCCTTGGGTCACAGACCTGGGCATGATTCAATCAGTGTGGCCTGAGAGGGAGCTAATGGGTCAGGCCTGGGTCACAGGTATGGGAAAGCAAATCCAGTTATTATTCAGCTTTGCCAGAATCCTGAGAAACTAAATTCACCCTGAGCAGAGGAAGCTTTGTTTGGAGATGTGAAAGCTACCACCTTCTGCTTATGCATGACGGTTTGCTTTTCTCTTTCCTTCTTTTCTTCCCTTCCTCCCTCTGCCTACTGCCTCCAGTTCTTCCCTCCCTCTATCCCTTTTAACAGCCCCCCATCTTGTTCTCTCCATCTGTTGCTCTTTTTATTTCTAGATCTGTTTCTCTCTCCCTCTCCCTCTCTCCTTCTTTTCCCTCTTTCCTCTGATTCTTCCTCCTGACTTTTGTCTTCCTTTCCTCTTCCTCTGTCTTCCTCTCTCTTCTCCTCTGTCCTCCCCTCCACCTACATGTGTGTGTAGCTTCCTCTTGCTCTAGAACTTGCTCTCAATCTCTCTTCTTCCACTGGGAGAAAATCACCTCTTGTGTTGAATGAGATGGACTGATTTTCCAGAACTGAGACCTGTCAGGGCTGTTGCTAATGGGGGCAGATTTGCCCTCTGAGGACCCTTGCAGCTCTGTGACTGACCTGCATGACCACCTTCCTGGGAGCTGAGGCCCCTGTCAGTGGCCCCGCTTGTTTTTCCTGCAGCTCACCAGTCTGATGGGTGGAAGTCTGCTCTGGGCACTAGGACTATCGAGGATGAGGAGCAACAGAGAGAACAGGGCTTGCTGGGTCAGTGCAGGACACACCCAGTAGGCTTCATCCCCATGCCAAGAACCAGCCCCTGGAAAATGCTGCCTCCCCATCTCAGGGCAGAGGCTCACAACTGCCCTGGAGTGGGAAGAGTCAGAGCTCGTGTCCACTTCCCCAGAAGTTCCTGGTGCCTGTCGTTCTTTGTGAAGGTGCTGGTTTCAGAGAATGATGAGGGCAGGAAGAATCATCCTGGAAGGGAAACAGCCACACTCTGGGAGAACCGGTTTCATGCTCCCTTGAAGTCTCTCAAAGTATCCTGCGTGTGTTTGTGGGGGTTGCTGAATCAGGGGCGTCCTCTGGAGGAAAATCAATTGCATTTTCTAAATGCTACATTCATGCCAGCCGCCCCCCCAAACAGTCATAGAAATAGTGAGTTCAGAGAAAAGAGACCTGGATTTAAAACAGAGAGGGCGTCCTTTATAGCCAGGTGTTCTGAGGCAAGCCACATAATCTCTGGCCTCAGTTTCCTTATCTGTAAAATGGGAATGACAGCAGCAGGAGAATCGTGGCATGGGTTAAAATGAGGTGACATGTATGAAAGAGCTTAGCACAGTGCCTGGGACAAGGAGGGGGTAAGAAACATTAATTGATTCTGTATTGTATATAAATCCTTCCTAATCCTGACAGAGAAACTGAGTCCCAGAGGATTTTCTTGAACTAATTGGTCACGGGCAACCTAAACCTCCTGATTTATTTACCTACTTTCTCTAAGACATGCCATTTGGGGGAACATCGATATCTTCTTTTCTCTTGAACCCCCCTGGTATGAACAGAACCAGCAGGCTTTGAAGGTCAGTTGAGGCATAGAACCATGGCTCCAGTCTTTGTCATGGTGAGACAGCTGATGAGTGCCAAGTGAGAGGAACAATTTAGTTGTTTGGGTGTCTATATTGCCTTTCTTATCTCAACAGATTCTGTCCCTAATTGATGCCTGCTGCCCTGTCTTGAGTCTGCTAGCACTTCATGGGTCTGGAAAATCCATTGTGATGCTCTTTCGTCTCTAAGATTTATAAAGAAATCATGGTTAGGTTAAGAACCCTTGATTGTTAGAACTAAACCAAATGAAAAAATTAAGGCGGCCTGTCACTAGCAGCACCTTTGTTAATTGGCAGCCCAATGAGAAATGAGATTGCCAGGTATCGAAACCACTAAAATCAGTAACAGAGGCTGTTCATATGGCTATGGTATGTCAATTTTCAATGACAATTGGACTCCCATTCCCTCACTGGTATTTTCCCAAAATTCGTGGGGTTACCTTTGACTCCTCCCCCTGTTTGTCTGTTCTAGAACTTCACCTAAATGGAATTGTACAGAATAGAGTGTTTTGGCTCTGTCTTCTTTCACTCTGCTCAGTGTTTTGAGATTCACCCATGTTGTGTGTATATAGGTGAGGTTTTGGTTACTGACTAGTTTATGCATGAACACCCCAATTCTGTTTGAATCATGGCCAACTCTCCCCATAAGAAATAAAGAACAATAGAAAATGGGAGCAGTGACCATTTTATTATTAACTTGGCTTACATTCCTGACTCCTAGTAACAGAGATGGTAAACTGGCCTGTACCATGTGGCTTAGGCGTGATACCTAAGGAGGATTCTGTCTTCCTCTTTATTTTTTTTAACCACTTTATTAATATATAGGTCACATACCATACAAGTCACCCATTTAAAGTGTAACCATTCAATGGTTTTTAGTATATTGAGATATGTACAACCATGAACCAGTCAATTTTAGAACAATTTCATCATCTCAGGAAGAAACACCATGACCTTTAACTATCACCCCTTATACCATCCCACCCTCTGCCCCCCCCATATCACCCCAGCCCTAAGCAATCACCCATCTACTCTCTGTCTCTATGGATTTGCCTGTTCTGGATATTTCATGTAAGTGAAATCATACAATATGTGGTCTTTGTGTCTGGCTTCTTTCACTTAGCATATTTTCAAGGTCCATCTACTTCGTAGNATAGGTGAGGTTTTGGTTACTGACTAGTTTATGCATGAACACCCCAATTCTGTTTGAATCATGGCCAACTCTCCCCATAAGAAATAAAGAACAATAGAAAATGGGAGCAGTGACCATTTTATTATTAACTTGGCTTACATTCCTGACTCCTAGTAACAGAGATGGTAAACTGGCCTGTACCATGTGGCTTAGGCGTGATACCTAAGGAGGATTCTGTCTTCCTCTTTATTTTTTTTAACCACTTTATTAATATATAGGTCACATACCATACAAGTCACCCATTTAAAGTGTAACCATTCAATGGTTTTTAGTATATTGAGATATGTACAACCATGAACCAGTCA